ATGATATGTGTAATATTTGCTGCGTTTTACAGCACGTCGCGCACCCATCTGCCGCGGTATGTGCCAGGGCATCGTGTGTCACAAGGCTGCAACGCACTGATGACAAGACAACGAACACAGGTATAATTTCGACTCTGCCGACAGCCAAATGTCCTGGAAAAAATGGGACGACCTGGAAACCACATGTCCGACGTGCTGCGTTTTACAGTATGTTGCGCTGCTGAAATCCCGGGCAAACCCTCCCCGTTGAGCCAACAACAACAACAGCAACAGCAACAGCAACAGCAACAGCAACAGCAACAGCAACAGCAGCAGCAGCAGCAGCAGCAACAGCAGGCAGAGCACCGGCACCACCAGCGCCAAGGGTGTTGATTTACGTCTCCGCCTTTGTTTCGGGTAGTGACAGCGAGTTTCCTTTACCAACGTTTGGCTTAATATCAACATTGTGACTCTTTTCAATGGCAGGCTTACTATTTGCTTAATATTTTTGCTTACTATTGTGACTCTTTCCAACATTGTGACTCTTTTGCTTAATATGTTTCATTTTGCAACACCCGAAGGTCTCTCTTGTTTCGTTTTGCCGCATTGCCTTTCGAGTGCTGGACATGCAGACTCGGCCAGGCTGCCCAGGCGGTAGACCATGCCGTCCGCATCACCGGAGCAGAGCGGGCGCGAGTGCCAAGTTGCTTTCCTGCTTCGCCGGCATTCGCTGGCATTCGCTGGCAAGGCATTGAAGAAAATATAGGCCTTTCTAGCAAAGCAAGGAACCAAAGTGAGAGATCTTGCAGAAATCATGGCGAAAGCCAGAGATTCAAATCTTACAAGGTGACCAGGACCCTATGGTAAACAGGACTTCAAGAAGCTTAGTCAGGTCATCCAGCTGCGCATGCTGAACTTCCTGGAAGATGGCGATTACTTCTCGGAGAACTGGGATGAGGACGCTCGCGGTAGAGCCATGAAGGGTCGCGAAGGTGTGGCGAAAGCAGTGAGACTTCCTAGTGCGAGAAATGAGCAACGATGCAAATTGCATGTATCCTGAGATCGCCTGGCATGACTTGAAGTGAAGCACAGCTTGCTTGTCCAGCGTTTCAGTGCCAACTGGTCAGACGTCAATCAACAATTGACAGATTGAGTTGGCGTTGACACAAGAGCATGTCCATGGGCACCTTGCCACCTCACGTCCAAAACACAGTTGACATCCTCAGCCATATGCTGTCGCCGGAGCAAACAGTTCTATATCAGCCAGGAGCCTGCAGCGAGCGGCGCCTCCTCTCGTTTCTTAGGCCGTGGCCCAAGTCATACGTATCCGAACTTTGGGGGAGCAGAGGTCAGCAGATACGAACTCGGTCGCCCTCCCCTTTCGTGAGAGTGGCTCTGTGATTTCACCGGACTCATGTGACCTGACCCTAACAGGTAGCCGAGTTTGCCCCACATTGCTGCAAGTTGTCAATTGACATGGTTTCAACACAAATTTTGCTTCCGGAAAACATCACCTAGGCTGCAATTCCAAGGATGTGTTGGCACTGGTTGGGGGAGGGGGAAACAAGCAAGCGGCTTTGTGTAAACGATGCAGATCAGTATGTTGTTCATACATCATGTGTCCCCCAAGTCATGTTGACGATGGGCCACAGCTTCGCAAATCGTTGACCTCTTACGCTCAAAGCATGTCATCCATCCCTGAACGTCATCCTTGACGTTCAAGCATCCCTTTTCCTGGCAGCCCAAAACCTGCAGCCCTACTCCCTGCCCTTACCGCTTGGCCCCCCCACCGCAACACAGAGACACGAGCATAACGAGCAGGTGTGACCTACCACCAACCCACGGGTCGCTTCTTGGCGCGACTGGGCAGGAAGTAGGGCACCCAGACTGGGATGGTCTCAAGGGGCTGTTGAGCAGTCTGATGCTTTTGAAAGAACGTGTTGTGCAGAGGCAGTGGTTTGCATGAGCCGCAAGGTTGACACTTGTTGAAGACCGAATCGTTTAGAGATGGTTTGCACTTGAGCATCATTTGAGCAACAACCAACATCAGTCACTCAGGGGTACACTAGCCACACTATAAACTGTTGGTACACAGTGGGGTTACTCGCCGAATTCCAACACATTCGAAGCCATGATGGAAAAAAAGTAGCACTCTAAAATCAGTATGGCATGCGGAGCTCAGCCTCTAGATGCCTGAGACGAATGCCGCTGCCTTCCTGCGGATCTTATTTCAATATCCTAGGCTTTCAACACGATGCGCCCCAACTTATGGTTGCACAGGGTCGAAGCACTCGACGGTGTTGGGCAATCCTGCGACAACTGTAATTGCAAGTGGAGGTTGAGTTTTTTCTTTTTTACATTGCGACGCAGTGTCATTTCGAATCTGGCGACGCCACTAAAAGGATTGGAGACATCCAAAAGACGAATCTCTCGTTGAAAGGATGCTCACACCACTAGCCCGTGCGGGTTGTCAGATGCAATCCTACACAGGTCCACTTGCATTTTTCTAGGCAATAGTTTTCTCACCCCGCAACCTTCTGCTTGTCAACTTAATATTTGTTGTTTGTAAAGCATTACCAAAGCCTCAACTTTCTACTTGCAACCTGAAATGACGGGGCAGACAAATGAAATGTGCAAATCGGGGCAGGCCGATGCGCATGCTTGTTTTGTGCACCGCATGTCGCTAGGCACTTGGGCCTATTCGATGAGGAGGATGAAGCTGCGCGAGCCTTTGACGAGGCAACTGCTTGCTTGATCGCCTTGCTTTCCCTGTTGCTTTGCTCTATGAAGCATGGGCTGAGTTCAGTATGTAATTTGCCTTTTGTTTGTTATTCAAGCATGCCTTTCGCTTTCAAGTTGATCAGGGGATTCCAGGCATGTCATTCTCCGAACGTGAAGCAATTATTGGCAGAGAAGCTGCCCAGTCCAAGGATTCATGCAATCGATTTGACAGGCCTCACTGGCAGCCGGTGGCCGCAGCAACTTCAAGCCGGCACAAGGTTGAGCAAAGACCGCAGCGTGCTGCGTGCTGCAATTTGCTTTTTGGGTTCATCCATGACAAATGCAATCACGCCCGCGCCCACCTGCTTTATAGTCGCATTGAAGAGGTTCCAAATGAACAGAAAGTGCCACTGGCTGCTTCGACGCTGTTTCGGCTACAGATTGCTCTGATGCTTAGAAGGCATATTCCCCAACATGTGACAACTGCAATCTAAAGGGTAACACTGTTGTGAAAGTAGGGCGGAGTGGTTCCTTATTTATTTGGACTTACTTATTAAAGCTGCAGCGTTAATCGATCATCACATTTGATGATGCGTTTATTTGGTTGCCCGCAGGAAGACTGTTGTCCCTCGCATCGCTTAGTGTGCTTTCGCTGCTGTGCGTCCGTTGCTGTACGGACATGTCCTCACATGGGGTCTTGCTCAAGCCAGCTTTCACGATGCAAGAGCAGCACATGGAGTTACTGCGGCCCCAACAACACTTCTGCCAGCCAGTGCTTTGGGTTGTGCACAAACGCATTTGTAGATACATTGTGCCAGCCTTTGCACATGGGATGCAGTGGAAGTGGCAAACATCAGAACTCACATTTGGCAGCATGCTTTCAACCATTGGATCTATGGCGATTGCCCACCGACAGGCACTTGCTGCACTCGGAGTCATGCCATGTCCAGGGTACCAGTCTGGCCTAGCACTGTTGCAACTAAACATTGCTAGGAGCAAGGAGTTGTCTTCCCAAGGCATGACTGGTTCCCACTTTGGGGATTGAACCGGGCTGCATGCCATTGCTTTGATTGCCGTGGGCAGGCCTTGCCCCCTCCCGGCCCTCGGTCAGCATGCCACGCTTTCAGACTGCGATAGACGGTGCCACGTCGCTACCTTCGTTGACAAGCGATGCATCGAATGAAACGCGCAGGATTGAGCTTGTTCAGTGCCAGGACATCAACCCCGATCGCCGGCGCAAGACTCGACCACCTTGTCAAGCGACGGCTGACAAGGCGGTTGATGGGGTCTGCCAATGCAAGATATTCGTGGGATTGCGATGCTCCTTTGACACACACCACAGAGTAAAAAACTGACTGAGTAAATATACTGCGCTCACGTACGATGTCTTGCTGCACTGCAGCCACCTGGTTACCAAATTAAGAGTGCTTGAAACTGGTTGTGTACTGTTTGAACAGTAGCGGCTTGGTTTGGAGCAAAGTCCGTATCATCGATCTTGGATTTGCTTCCCCCTCATGGTTTGAGCCTACAACTCTAAATCCTTACGACGTGTAAAACTGGTTTGTTGAAGGGAACACTTGTTTGGGTGCCACTTAATTGCCAGTCCGAGGCTTGGGCGTGCTTGTGGGCTTCTTTTTCTCATCAGACCAGCTGTTTACAGCATTGTTTCTCACTCCCCGGGGAATGTACAGCAATGCGCAGGATGGATGCTTTGCATGCATGGACCGCTCGGCTGCTTACAGATCCAAGCAGAGTGCTGAGGGTTATGGAGATGGGAGAATCAGTCCAACAGTCTCTTTGTCAAAGCTCCCCAAACGTTGGCGGTCCCTGCGTGCCTTGTCCAATTTGTCCAGGATGAGAACACAGCCCCGTAGGCGCAAAGTACTCAGGTTTGGCCCTTGAGGAGTGCGCGGTAAAAACGGAGAAACTGGAAGCCCTGGAAGCTGTGCAGGCGTGGGAGTGGCCAAACCCCGCCTGGTCCGAGCTCTTGGCCCGTGCTGGGTTCTGTGTCGGTGGCTTTGCAGCAGCAAGGCAAGGCTGCGTGAAATTCAAATTCTGTGTGGGTGCCAGTGGGTGCCAATCGCAGCCGAGGTGTTGTGGGCATTGATCCGAGGAAAGTCGCTTTTGAAGATTTTGAGCGAGCAACGCAAGAAATACGGGCCATTTGGAGGCACTTGGGTCCGTCCATTTGGGTTCTCAGAATCAGCAGACCAGATGGCCTTAGGATGGCCTTGGCCTGCGAACTTGACTTTCGACGCTCATCTAAGCCCTGGGAACTTCGGAGCCCCAGGCCCTGCTTC